TTCTGATGTCATTTCCAGAATTGGGATTAACACAGATGTGCTAAGATGTCTGCTTTATTAAACTGGAACTTTCAGGATCATTTTGCCTTGGACTATGATTTAATTCTACATGATACTTGGAACGCTGACACTGGCACTTTAAGAAGCAAAACAGGCTCACGTTTTGGATCCGCTCAACCTGAGATGCCAAAAGGGATCTTAGCAAACCACATGCACTTGTGCGTGCAGACACACACACACAAAAGCTGCACGCTGTTCATCTTGACTTAGAAACAGCTCTTGGAGCCCCAGACAGCTCACTAGAAAAGCCCAAGGGGGAAAATGATTGAACCTACAGGAATGTGATTACCTGGGAACCAGGTAGATGAGCTTACCTCTCCGGGTACTGCAAGCTGTAGGAGGCCGCCAGGAACCCGCCCAAGCTGTGACCCAGCAAGATCATGTTGGGGATGCCCATCTCCTCACGCCAGGCCTCGATAGAGCTCACAAAGGCTTCCTCGGCCCCTTGGGCGTCATTGGGGAACGGGGGCCGAGAGCTCCGTCCGAAGCCCAGGAGGTCAAAGGCATGGAGGGGACGGCGCTGGCTTAGCGAGTCCAGGTTGAGAATCCAGAGCCCGATGCCGCCCCCAAAGCCGTGCACCATCACCAAAGGGGTACGTCCCTTGCCCCATTGTGGAGACAGCGAGATAGTCCAGATCTTGGCCTGGTTCGGGAGAGGCACGTAGCGGGCCACAAATCGGTTCTGGAGGCCTGGGGAAAATGAAGAAGCGGCAAGAGTTTCAGCACACAGGGCCAAACCATCTTGAAATCCAGCGGTTCCAGCTGCTGGGAAACCCCGAGGAATGGGAACTACCCAGTAGAGAACGAGATTCAGGATTAGGGGTGACATACTAGAATGCCGGTGGTCCTCAACACACGGCCATCATTGAGCCCAAAATTTCTATTACTAAGCGAGACGGTTGCTACGAGAGTTTCACCCCATTTTACGACCTTTTGGGTGGCGTAGTGATTAGAGTGCAGTACTGCAGGCTACTTCTGCCGACTGCCGGCTGCCTGAAATTTGGCATCTCGAATCTCACCAGGCTCAAGATCGACTCAGCCTTCCATCCTTCTGAAGTTTGTAAAATGAGGAACCAGATTGTTGGGGGCAATATGGGGGGAGTAGGCGTGGCCGGGATGGGCATGCTGGGGTGGGCATGGCTGGGGTGGGCGTGGCCAGCTTGACGTCACTTGTGTCAGGGGCACCTGTGGTAGCCAAGTGCTAAGGCAGGACTTCCCACAGACTCTCCCTTGTTCTCATTATAATCTCCTTCCTTCCTTCCTTCCTTCCTTCCTTCCTTCCTTCCTTCCTTCCTTCCTTCCTTCCNGCCGGATGTGAATGAGCAGAATTCACAGTCAATGAATAAAAGGGGTTTTTGTCGGGACAAGGAGTTGGCTTCAGGCTCTGGGGAAGCCTCAGCCAGATCACAGGTGACCAGCGTGATGCCGCAACGGTTGTGTGACCAATGGTCACAAGTCACTTTTTTCAGTGCCGTTCCAACTTCGGATGGTTCACTGTCGTAAGGGAAGGACTGCCCGCCTCTATCCTTATAGGAGATTGACCTTGCCGACCACCTGTTTACAACCAGTTCTTCCAAATTCCTTCCCTGCCTTTTTGTAATAGCTGAGCTGGCCGGCCAAGACTTCGATGTGACTTGTGTTGGGGTAAATCCCTTCGCTCATCATCTCCTCATAGAAACAGCTCAAGATGTGGGTTTTCTCCAGCAACCCGAAGGGAACGATCTCCACCCCAGTCCAGAAAGGGTGGACCTCACTCAGGAGGGGCCGAAGAGCGGCCTGAAGCTCTTCCAGATCCTTCGGAGGCTGCAACGAGTCGTCGGAAACGTTCTGGAGGAAGTGGCGGGTGATCTCTTCGCCGCCCAGGTTGCTGATGAGGATGTAGACAGCGTTGAGGTACTCGTTCGTCTGGTTCTTCTGGAAAAACCCACCCAGGGTCTCCAACAGAGTGTCGGGCATGAATTCCACCTCGTCCAGGATAAACACAGGGATGATTTCTTCCATTTCAGCTTGAGCCACCATGTCTCCGATGGTCTCCGATAGCTCCAGTTGGCAGGTGGAGACGGAGCTCTCCGCAGGGCAGTGATGCATCGTGAAATAATGGAGCACGGAACGGGGTCCCATCACCGACCGGAAGTGCTTGGCTAGAAGCCAGCCGAGATGGCTCTTGCCAACGCCGCTCGGGCCGTTGAAGGAGATGACTAACGGCTTGTTATGGACGTGGGTGGCCAGGTAGTCTTTCAGCAACCCCATGACCCTCTCGATGACCACGGGCTGCCCGAAAACCTCCCGAGCCATGGTCTTCTCCAACCCATCCAGGTCGTACTTCATGAGGTTGTCGTCCAGGTTCTCGATGGCGTTGAGGATCTGGAAGCAAATGATGGCCACGAACAAGAGGAGGAACTTGGTGGCTCTGCTCCGGTGCTCGGTGGGCAGGTATTTCCTCGAGCTCTCCGGATATAACACTCGGGGGTTCGTTGTCTTCTTCTTACGCCGTTTGGGCTTGGCCACAGAGAACGGGCCAGCAGGGTCGAAAGTGAAATACTGGGAACTGTTGAAAGATGCTTGGTTGGAGACACTGGCTAATTTGCTTTTCCCCAGGGAAAGCTGCCTCTGAAGAAGTTTCTCTCCGGGCAAGTAGCATTTTTTTAAAGCATGGGCTGTCCTCCGAAGGCGAACTACAGCCCGCACTGGGGAGGACATCAAAGAAAGCTTCTGTGGACTTTTCGCGGGGCTCTTCCGGCTTTCCATCGCGACGTCTTCCTGCCGGTTTGATTGTTCTGCAGAGAGAGTGAAGGACATTTATTTATTTTTTAAAATTGTCATTTGTTTTATTTAGTTTGTCGAACGTGGACGAGATGACAGGTATAAGTATGAACGTGGACGTGAACGAAAGAAATGAGTACAAGTAAATGGGGACAGTAGGACAGGGACGGAAGGCAGGCTGGTGCGCTTATGCACGCCCCCTTTACGGAGCTCTCAGGAAGGGGGGTGAGGTCCACGGGGGACAGTTTGAGGTTGAAGCTGTGNCCCAGTTCCTGCAACCGTTCTTCATATGTTTTGGCGTCCAGTCCCCTAATCCTATTTGTTGCTCTTCTCTGCACACTTTCCAGAGTCCAAATCTATTTTGGTTGAGATTTTTAACGGGCCCTACACAGCATTTGGGATCAGCTCCTAAATTTACCAATCCAGAAACCCTACACTACTTCAGACAAATGGTTGTCCAACATCTTCTTAAAAACTTCCAGTGTTGGAGCATTCACAACTTCTGGAGGCACTGATTAATTGTTCTAGAACAATTAGAACCTTAGTTCTAAGGTGATTCTGTCCTTGATTAGTTTCCACCCATTGCTTCTTGTCCTGCCCCCAGGTGCTTTGGAGAATAGTTTGACTCCCTTTTCTTTGGGGCAGCCCCTGAGATATTGGAAGGCTGCTATCATGTCTCCCCTAGTCCTTCTTTTCATCAAACTAGACCTACCCAGTTCCTTTAACCGTTCTTCATATATGTTAGCCTCCAATCCCCTAATCATCTTTGCGGCTGTTCTCTGCTAGAGAGAAAATCCCCCAAGGCCAAAGAAAGGATCTTACTCTGGATGAACTGGGAGGATGGCCACCCTTTTCACTGGTCACATCTGAAAGATGCAGCTCCAGAAGAAATAGACAAACCGACATGAATCACATTCTGTTTATTGTGGCTCTCGGCTACGTGGTTTGCAGAAACAACCGTGTCCGAACGAGGGGAGAGCGGGAAGGATCGGTTTATTCCCCTCGCTCTTGAAGCCCCACCCATTCTGATTTAACCCCGCCCACTCAGCCTCGCCCACCTTCCACCACGCCCCCTTTCCCCCATAAAAGGTAGCCCTCAACTTACAATCCTTCGTTTTGCCACCATTCCAAGTTACGATGGGGAAAGGGGAAGGGGGTGATTTATAAGTCCTCATACGTGCAACCGTTGTAGCATCCCTTGTAGTCATGTGATCGAAATATGGGCACTTAGCACCCGGCTGGTGCTTTGATCACCTGACTCCCAGGGTTGGGTGTCAGTGAGGCAGAAGAACAGCTGGAGACTGTTCCCAGTGTGCGCATGAGCAGAGTGGCCAGATGAAGGGAAGAGCTAAGGAACAGGGGTCAACTTGGGAGGAAGGCCACAAGTGGACAGTGAATGGCCCCTCCCAAAGGGAATAAAAGAGGGGAGAAAGGGGAGTGGAGTTTGCAGGAGACTATTAGTTCATTTCATTGGTTCGTGACTCTCTGAGACTCCTTGCCAAGTTTTGCAGATGTCAGCCTGGCAGCTCTCCAAGCCAGATAAGGTCTGTGACTGTAAATCCTCCCTTGAAAGACTTTGCTGGATGTGAATGAGCAGAATTCACAGTCAACTAATAAAGGGGTTTTTTTGTCGGGACCAGGAGTTTGCTTCAGGCTGTTGGGAAGCCTCGGGCAGAATAGAGGGGGAGGAGGAGGAGGAGGAG